GGGAAAACGTCTTTTTCTTCCTTTGCTTTCCAAGTTCCTGAACAGGGCAGCCCTCAAAATCTGCAGCCAGGAAACGGTCTGGATTGGATGTATGAGAGGGTGGGAGGACACAAACTTGTACTGAAATGTCCAAACACTTGGAACTGCCTTAGTGTAGCCCTGATCTTCCTCAGTCTCTGTGTATGTGATAGTGCTGTGGACATAGTGCTGTGGACATATGGAAATATTCCTCCAACCAGATGGACCTTTAATATGCACAGATGGGCACCTTCTGTGAGACAGGGAGCAGATGCCTAATGATTGGCATTCTGCTCCCTGGCTCTGTGCGGTAGGAGGGCAGGGGTCCGGTGAATAAAGGCTAACCCTGTTTTGTTTTGTTTTTACAGAAGTAGCGTATTCCCGGAGCACAGGGGAAAATGAACAAGTTAGTCGCAGTCAGCAGCGAGGTGAGGACAGACCTTGTATGACACAGTGGCTTTCAAGAAAATTCTCCTGATGGTCCAGCCCATGTGCTTGCTTTTCCTGATTTCAACTCTTATCATGTAAGGCAGAGTAGAAGGAAATGGTGATTCGCAACAAAGGATGGGGGTGGTTCTAGGAGAGGTAGCAAATCCGCGTAAGTTTGGGATTTGCTCAGGGATATGTTTGAGGTCGAGGTAAGGAGTCCAGATCAAACTTCGGCTTGGCCCTGAATCAAACCAGCCTCCCAAAAATGGTGGGCTAAAATGTGACTTCTTTCCACAAATTTCTTTGTGCCTTCAGAAACTTTACCAGATATCGCTCCTGTCATTGTAAAAAGATACTACTGTGTGTATGTGTGTGTGTGTGTGTGTATACTAGTATATGAGAGAGAGGAGGGAAGGGAAGCAAGAGAGAGAGAAAGATTGATCGGTTGCCTCTGCAAGTGCCCTGGTTGGGAATCGAACCCATGACCTTGCGGTTTACAGGATGATGCTCCAACCAACTGAGTGACACCATCCATGGCTATAGTAGTGCATCTTGTATCAGAGGCAAGTTTAGCAGAAATTGCTAGGCGCTACACAGTAGCTCCTTTGACCTCTCTAACTCTTGTGGGTTTTCCTAGGTCTCCGCCGAGTGAGAGATCTCTGTCGAGTTCTGCAGTTGCCATCAACATTTGAGGAAACAGCAGTTGCCTACTACCAAAAGGCATACCAGCACCCTGGCATCCGTGCTGCCAGGCTGCAAAAGAAGGAGGTGTTGGTTGGGTGCTGTGTCTTAATCACCTGTAGGCAGCATAACTGGCCCCTGACCATGGGGACCATCTGCACCCTGTTGTATGCAGATTTGGATATGTTTTCTGGCACCTACATGCAGATAGTGAAGCTTCTGGGGCTGGATGTGCCATCTCTGTGCTTGGCAGACCTGGTGAAGACCTACTGTAGCAGGTACCTGCCTAGTGGGAGTTGTAGGGATGGGATGGGATGGGATGAGTCCTTAAACCTGAATCCTTTTACCTTTGGCTGTCTCTTTTTGACCAAAGCCCGTCTAAAAAGATGTGGGAGAAAAATCTGTTCTCCCTCTCCTGTGCCTGTACTAATCCCATTTTACATTTCTAGAATGCTATAATTTCAAATCTTTTTGCCCTCACAGCAACCTACTGATATAGGAAAGTAGGTTTTAGCCTTGGCACAGCGCTCCTGAGTTGCACCACTCACGTGTGTGGCCTGTGTGGATCAACTGGGAATGGAGCTGAAGGAATATTAGGAGACAACAGAGCTGTAGATAGAAGCTAATTCATTTTCTCTCTCTCTCTCTCTCTCTCTCTCTCTCTCTCTCTCTCTCTCTCTCTCCCCCTCCCCCTCTTTCTCTCTCTTTAAGTAGCTGTGTTATTTCCTCTACTGAGAAATATAGTAGAAAGCAAAGGCTATCAGTGTCAAATAGTCTTGGGTTTGCAGCTTGGTCACTTCCTAGCTGGATACTAGGGGCAAGTTTTGCAACTATAAATGCACATAACAAGGTGTAGAGAAGGTAAAAGAACACTTGTAAAGCACTCAGAATAATGGCTGACGGGGGTTGCTCAACACACGTTAGCTCCCTTCTGCATTCTCCTGCCCTTCACCTCACAAGCAGAAAACTCACCCGGTGGTCTCTCAGTCCCTGTGTGAAACTTGCTGCCAGCAAGCTTGAGTGTTCCCAAGAGGCTAGAACAGCTTGCCCATCCTGAGCAGACTGCTCTTCCCCATAAGCATTGAGACACGACCCTCATTTTGGTTATTTCAGCTTCAAACTTTTCCAAGCCTCCCCATCGCTGCCAGCCAAATACATGGAAGACAAAGAGAAGATGCTGTCGCGAACACTGCAATTGGTGGAGCTGGCGGATGAGACGTGGCTGGTGACCGGGCGGCATCCCTTGCCTGTCATCACTGCTGCTGCTTTCCTGGCTTGGCAGTCGCTGCAGCCCTCAGCTCGTCTGACATGTTCCCTGGCCCGATTTTGTAAATTGGCAAATGTGGACCTGCCCTACCCCGCTTCCTCCCGGCTACAGGAGCTGCTGGCTGTGCTGCTGCGGATGGCTGAGCAGCTGGCCTGGCTGCAGGTACTGAAACTGGACAAACGGTCTGTGGTGAAGCACATCAGTGACCTGCTGCAGCACCGCCACACTTTGATTCGCAAAGCCTTTCGAGAAGGGACATTAGAGGTGGAGGCCCCAGAGAAGGAGCTGCAGGGACGGGGACCAAGGCAAGGACAGGGAAAAGAGGAAGTGGGGAATAGCGCCTCCGAGTTACCTGAGGGGAAGCGGCCAGCTAGTCCTGCCCTTCTCCTCCCACCCTGCATGTTGAAGCCCCCAAAGCGGGTCTGCCCCGCCCCCCCTGCCTCCACGGTCACTGGAGATGAGAACATTTCCGATAGTGAAATAGAGCAGTATTTGCGGACGCCTCAGGAAGTGCGGGACTTTCTGAGAGCCCAAGCTGCTGGACAAGCTGCCACCAGTAGTCCTAACCCCCCCTGATGCACTTGGGTTTGGTGGGGCAGGGGTCACGTCATTCTGACAGCAGCTTGATAATAGGCCTGTCGTGTCCAGAGAAATAAATGTGTGCAAGCCCTTAGGTATTGTCTCTGCAGCTCAGAGCCCAGGTCCTGGTGTAGAAATGAGAACGACTGTAGGAACCCCTGGGTTGGAGAGAGTCCCATACTTTAGTGCCAGAAAGCAGATTGCATATGTTCACATTCTGTGGGGTGGCTTTCCTCTTAGAAGTTGGGCTCTCTTCTGCTTCTGGTCTGAACTGGATAAACTGAGAGGGCTCATGGGGCCTCGCTACTGGTGAGGAGCAGTTGGCATTTCCAATGGCACCAGCCCTCAGGGCAGGAACTGGGCAACTCTTGGCCCTGTGTCCTAGGTATTGGTGGGTTAATGTGTATGGTATCATGAGATCTTCTACCTCATAACAAAAGGACCGTGGGTGGACTAAGGTTATAGCTCAAAGGGCTTTGCAAAATTTTAATATATTAAAACAAGAGGCATCTGCTAGAAAACATTCTATTGTATAAAACCCGAGCTTTTAAAAACATGTTTTCTTTGGCACTTTTTATCCCCTCCCTCCCCTTTCCCCAGCGTATTGCAAAAAGCTCTCCAGTGCTAAGGCATTGGCAGGGTATGTAAACAGCAGCCAGCATATGTGGAAGAATAATACAAAGCTTTTTTTTCCTGTCTAATATTGTCTGTGCAGCAAGCATAAATAACAGGATCCATCCCACGGAGTGTGGGCTTCCTTTCCTCCCTATGTCTTCTTTCACCTTGATGGTCAGGCTGGGGTGACATGGGACTGGGAGGGGGCCTGGGCCAGGCCTCCTTTTCATGACGCTCTTCACAAGGCCTCCGGTTCCCTCCACTTTCACTGGGTCCTGTAGTAAAAGGCTGGTGGTTGCTTTTTAGGTTGCGGGGGTGGGGGGTAGGAGGAAATAGTGCTGGTGTTTAAAAGTGGAGGTGAAGGCCCCTGGAACTGTAGGGACCCTGCCCACTGCCTGGAAGGATTTGGCCTGGGCTTCTGTGTGGCAGGAAGATGTTTCTGATGTTTTGGAAGTTTCTCCCTAATACGGGGCTAAAGGCCAAATAGTTGGAACGGTTCTTCCATGTGGCCTCAAGGAGGAGGGAAGTATCTTCCTTAGTCCCCAGTGTTGGGAGGCTGAGACCCTTGTCTTGTGGTTGACGGGTAAGTACATCTTCACCACCACTTGCAACCTGTGGTGGAGCCCTCTTCAGGGCATTGTTTGTAGGACTAGGTTTAAGGCCTGGCTAACTTCAGCCCCAGATCTAAGCTCTCTCTCTACTTCCCTCAGATTATCCCCAGGCGGGGTCAGCTTTGTCCCCAAGTGCCACCCCGGAGCCCTGCTGGTGGTGTGTGTACACTCACGGGGTGGCGTCGCTCCCTAATGGTGCACCTGCCCTCCTTGACCTTCCAGGCTGACTTTCACACGGCCCCGCCTTCGCCTCCTGCATAGTCTGAAAAGCAGCACCTTGTCACCTCCAATGGGTCCTGGTCACCTGGCATATCTAGGCTGCCTCCCCAGTTAGCCAAAAATTGGGTGGGGAGAGGCCCTAGAAGCTAGGCACAGGCCGGCTTCAGAGGAGGGCGGTGAGGGAACACTGTTCCCAAGCCCCCATCTGTGTTTGCCAGGTAGGGCTGACACCACCAGAGAGGCGGGTGGGCAAGATGCGGGCACCTTAGGAAGAGCCCACCTGGGCTTGCTGGCCCGCCCAGTACCCATCAATCCAGACAGGACCTTCCCTACCCTGGATGGCACAGACTGGCCTGGGCTGGGACAGAGTGTATCCTGCCGGTGGCCCCGGGATTGCCTGTCGCTACCCCAGAGGCACGGCCCTCCTAGCCGCCCGGGCGCCCGCTGTCCTTAGCTTCAGGACGGAGGCTAGTGAGCCCGGCGCAGCCCTCGGCACTTCACCGATCGGCGTCCTCAGGGGCCCGCGCAGCCGGGAAAACCAGTCCGGGCGGCCAGCCTGCCCTAAAGTGCCACCCGCCCACCTAGACGGTGGTCTCGCTCTTCCAGAGGCCGGTCTTCATGCAGCCGCCCCCCGCAGCCTCGGCGCCCGCCAGGGTGATGTCCTCGTACTTGCCGCCCTTGGGGGCGCCGTTCAGGCTGGCC